CTAAACCCTCATACAGCCTAACACCTTCAACCCTCAACCCTAACCCCAAGCGCTCAACCCTAAACCCTAAACCCTAAGCCCTAAGCCCTAAACCCCTCAAACCCAAAGCTTCGGTAAGGAGAACGGCAAGCGTTTCTATCCGCTTGAGGAGGCTGAGGCCCTGCTGGGCATCTTCAAGAAGCTGGGTGGGCCTTTTGGGGGTTTAGGCGTTGAGGGTTTGGGGTTCAGGGTTTGGGGTTCAGGGTTTGGCGTTTAGGGTTTGGGATTTGGGATCTCGGATTTAGGGTTTAGGCCAGATTTTCTGAGTCCTAGTATTGATTTCGTAAGCGAACTTTCTGAAAACATATATGCCTACTTATCATTATAATTTTTTTACTACTACTACTACTACTACTCCTCCTACTACTACTACTACTACGACGACTACTACTACTACTACTACTTCTTCTGTTCTTCCAATGGTAGTTGATGAAAATCCCCGTCCCCAAAGCGGGCATCATGTAGGTTGCCTGTTTGGTTAGGATCCCATAAGCCTTAAACCACATATGGCCAATGGTTTCTCCTCTAGAAGGACCTCAAAGAACAATCCTAAACCCTAAGCCCTAAATCGTAAACCTGACACCCTAGCCCCTCAACCCTAAACAGTAAACCGTAAGCCCTCAATCCTAAGCCCTCCAGCCTAAACCCTAAACCCCCAACCGCAAACCTTAAGCCCCAAATTTCTTTCTAGGCCAAGCCAAGGAAGGATGCCGTCCGCTACATCGAGGCTTTCCCGGGCGAGGAGCCCGAGGAAGCCGCCGAGGGTGAAGAAGCGGCTCCCGACGTCACTGAAAGCAGTAGGTGGGAGTTCCCAACAGTTTAGGGTTTAGGGTGCTGGCGTTCTGGATTGAGATTCTTTGAAATGTATGTCAGGCATCAGGGGGACCCCTGCCCCGCGCCCCTTTCTTAGAGACCCCCAAAGATGTGCGGTCCCCTTTTTGTTGGCGTTCTTTTAAGAAGGATTGGCGCATCTTTTGAGACGTATGTTATGCACACGAGGGACCCCTCCATTTTTGCTACTGACAGGTTTGAAGCCAACATCTGGTCGGTGAGAGCCTGGAGTCTTCATGCATATGCATGTGATGGCTTTGAGGAAGGATGTGTCTCAGAGCTCCTTGATGCCATGCTGCCTGACAACATCCTACCAATGCTGTCCGATGCCTCTCAAGGAATGCCTTCGCTCGGGCCCGTGCCGAGCTCTTTGAAAGCGCAATCGCCCGTGTGTCCCACAAACCGCTCTCCAGTTTTTGTGGTGTTTTCGCAGGCTGCTGTGAAGAAAAACTGCTAAACCCTGGGCCCTAAACGCTACACCCTCTCCTGCAAACAGCTCTTCGTTTTCAAGCTTCTTGTCGGAGGCTGCTGCAGAGAAGTACGGCAAGATCTTTCCGTCCGTGCAGTTGTGCGAGGGCTGGCAACTTGAGGAGCCAGGCGTGGTTTACTGGAAGCTTAAGACTAATTATACAATCCTTATTTAAGTACAGTGTCTGGCATCCCCAAATAATTAGGTGTTAGGGATCAGGGTTTAGGGTTTTACGCCCCAAGCCCTGTTTGAATGGACCCTTAACTCTCAATCGTGTGGCCACCCTAAACCTTAAACCCTAAACCCCAAACCCCGAACCCTAAGCCCCAAATCCTAAACCCTAGACCCCAAATCCTCTAGCCCTCAACCCCTAAACCGCACCAGGGCTTCCGGAAGACAACGACGTCGACAAGCTAAGCCCTGAAGTAGCAGCGCTGCTCACGGACCAGGACAAGGCCCTACTGAGATACAGGGCTTAGGGTTTAGGATACCCCAATATTGGAGAATCAAATGGAAAAGAAAATGGAAAATGAAATGGAATCTGCTATATATAGGGTTATATAAGGGCTATAAGAGCCATAGTCTAAACTCCGTAAAGGGGGGTTATATAGGGAATTATATCTAGCGAACTACTATAGGGCTTATTAAGGGGGATACTAGGAGTTTAGACTATAGCTCCTATGTTCTCCCTTAAGTAGATAGAATATGTGGGGTTTAGGGTTTAGGGTTTAGGGTCTAGGGATCAGAGTTTAGGGTTTAGGGTTTAGGTATTAGGGTTTAGGGTTTAGGTATTAGGGTTATGTTGGGATAATGGAAAAGAAAATGGAAACTACCATTTAGGGTTTAGGGTTCAGGGGTTATGTCCTCCTCTTCAAGTAGATAGACTATGGCTTTGCGTGTATGAGAATAAGATCCCCATATACCCCATATTCTATCTACTTAAGGGGGCTATAAACCCTTGACGCTCTGCATCCTGAATCCTAATCCCCAAACCCTACATCCCAAACCCTACATCCTCCAGCTCAGCAAAGACAAATTGTATAGGGCAAACATGAAAGCAGAAACTCTGCCAAGAGTCGCCCAAAACTCGCCCAGAAGTCGCTCAAAACTTCCGACCTAAACCCTATACAACCCTAAATTATGAACCCTAAACCCAACATCCCAACACGCCCAACCCTGCACTAAACCCTAGACCCTAAACCCTGAAACCATACCCTACACCCAAAACCCTAAACCCTACACCCCTCAACCCCCCAAAGTGCTTTAGGCTTGTCTCCAAATCGTCAAGAACACCACGGAAGGGGTCGAAGGTTGGGAGGCGCCCCCCGAAGATGAGGAGGAACCTCCAGAAGCTTCTTCAAATTGGGGTTAAGGGTTTTAGGGGGTTAGGGGGTTAGGGGTTCAGGGGTTTAGGGTTTTAGGGGTTTAGGGGCTTAGGGTTTTAGGGTTTCAGGGTTTAGGAGTTAGGGTTTAGGAGTTAGGGTTTAGGGGTTAGGGTTTTAGGGTTTTAGGGTATAGGGGTTATTATAAGGGTTTAGCGTTTTAGGGGTTTAGGGTTGAGGGTTCAGTTTGGGGTGTAGTGTAAGGTTTAAGAGTGCCAAGGATTCAGGGAGTATAGACTTAAAGTGCTAATTGTAACCCGACGATAGCTGCACTTACACTTCCATCCTTCATGTAGGGCCCCTTCAACAAGGTTATAGGGTTTATTTGAGGATATATTTGGACATGTAGGGGTTTTGGGATTGGGCGTTAATGGTTGCTAGCAGGCTTATTGTGTGTTCCTTGGAGGTCCACGGGCGTCGTTACACCATTATGGTTGCATTCATCACCCAGCTTGAAGCCTCCTAAGTCCCCTAGCAAGGTGATATTTTGGGTGTGTACGTTCCAGATGAAAGTTATTTTGGGGCTTGAGTTACCCTGGATCTTCATCACGGGCATGTAGGGTTACATGAGGATGTCAAGGGACACGTAGGCTTTTCGAGCGGAGTATATTGGTGAGTGCATCTATTGGATGTCCTATGTGGCAGACCATCATCCAAATGAAGATGATGGGTCACAAACGAATATATAGAGATCTATTGGATTTAGGCCCTATACCCTAAACCTCTAGACCCTAAAACCTAAACCCCTAAACCCTGAACCCCTATACCCTAAACCCCTAAACCCCTAAACCCCTAAACCCTAAACCCCTATACTCTAATCCTCTAGACCTTGAACCCTAAACCCCTAAACCCCAAACCCTATACCCTAAACCCCTAAACCCTAAACCCCTAAACTCTAAACCCCTGAACCCCGAAAACCCTAAACCCCTGAACCCCTAAAACCCTAAACCCCTAAGCCCCTAACCTACAAGGAAGGTGGTGGCTCCGAGGGCGCGGAGCGCAAGAAGTGTAGAGAAGAGCATGGCATCGAAGATGTGGTCACTTGCTACTGAAATCCCATGTTAGGGGGTTAGGGGTTTAGGTTTTAGGGTGTAGGGCTTAGGGTTAGGATTTAGGGGTTTAGGGATTTAGGGTTTAAGGCTTAGTGTCTGGGGACATAGTGCGGGTTTGATGTGAGCATCGCGATTCTGTCTGCCTGTGGACATCCGGGCAAGCCAATCTCAAAGAAAATGTTTGGGAAATCGGAGGTTATAATAGACGACTGGGGGACCTGAGGTTTGTCAGATGGGTCAGCATAGTATTTGTAGCGTTACTAGTAGTAGTAGTAGTAGTAGTAGTAGTAGTAGGCAGTGGTACTAGGCGGCGACTAGGCGTCACGGGGAGGAAGAAGAGCAAGAGTAGGAGTAGGAGAAGCAGGAGCAGGAGAAGATTCTAATTTGATTTCAATTGCACGCCATGATATCTGACGGATTCTTGGGCTGTGGAATTTCAATATTACTACCCGTTCATAAGTCACCCCCTGAATCCCTGATACACGGATAGACTGTATCAACAAAACCATAGGTTCTCAATCAACATCAGACTGCGCCTTAGATCTGGGGATTTCTCTGGTCAGCATTTTCATTAGGACCACCGCCTGTACAATAACGTTGCTCATGTTTAGGGTTAAGGGTTTAGGGCTAGGGTTTTCGGGTTTGGATTTAGTGTCGAAGGGGCTATAGGGTTATGAAATACTCGCAGGGACATGCTGATTGTTACCTGGAAACTCAGGGTAAGTGCAGTCCAACGAGAAATACGTTTATGACTACTTGTGAGCCTGCTTCGTCCCCTTAGGTACCAGTTTTCTGCCATGATTCAGTCATGATTCTTCTGGACCTTGGTAGTTAGGGTCCTGTTATTAAACGGTGTTATACGGGCCCAATGCTGTATATAGGGTTTTGGAATTAGGGTTTTGGGGTTGATGGTTGAGTAGGGAACACAATCTGCATATAAAAGCAAGTGGAAGATCAAACAAAAGCTGGAGCATCACCCCTGACCCCTAGACCCTAAACCCTAAACCCTACACCTTTTGTGGGATATGTAGGGTTTTAGGCGTTGTCAATACGGAATGGAGGAGCAGGACTTAGGCCTGTAAGATTTTTTTTTTGCGTAGCCCGAAGTCCTCAACCCTAAATCCTAGACCTGAAGCCCTAAATCCTAAGCCCTAAATCCTAAGCCCTAAATCCTAAACCCTGAATCTTAAGCCTAAATCCTAAACCAAAAGCCCTAAAGCGCTGAAGGACTCTCATCTCTCCAGCATCTCCAACAAGATCCGGTTCTTGAATGGTCAGCCGATTTGTGAAGTCTTGGGCGGTATCTTCAGGCTCGCGTTTGGGGTATAGCGTTTATGTTCAACCCTGAACCCTCTCTTGGAACTACGAGTCTTCCGAACCACCCACAGCCTGCAAGCCCTTCAAGGTATACATACGAAGTATATAGCTGTTAGAAGTTCAGTTCTGTTTGAGTTCTGTATGCCTGCAGCGTGTACTTCTCTATGTCTCCATATATGCAGCTTTGAAGGGTCCTGCACTTGAAGGTTCAGACTAATTCTACCCCAAATATATAGTTTGGCGGACTTAGGGGGCTTGTACTTGGGGCATATGTAGAATCAAAGTTGGATGATGCATGCCTTGAAGCCTGAATCCTAAACCCGACACCGCCTGAACTGCCCTAAACCGTCCTAAGCTGCCCTAAGCTGCCCTGAACCCAAAAAGCCCTAAACTGCTCTAAACCCTAAGCCCTAATGTAACCCCCTGATTAAACACCCCCTTCCTTTTAAGAGCCTCAATATTAGGATCCCCATTATAATCCTTATTAAGGAGCGTAAATCCTAAACCCTAAACCCTAAGCCCTAAACCCTAAATCCCAAACCCTAAACCCTTAAACCCTAAATCCTAAACCCTAAAACCCCTAAACCCCTAAACCCCTAAACCCTGGTCAGCCCTTCGGCCTCTTGCTACCCGGTGTTCCTGATCGAGCCGGAGGACCTCATCGGGGAGCCTGGAACCAGTGACGGGCCCATGGTTTCAGGGTTTAGGGGATATTGGGATAATGGAAAAGAAAATGGAAGCTACAGGGATTAGGGTTTAGGTCTTTTAAGGGTTAAGGGTTTAAGGGTTTGGAGTTTTGGGGTTTAGGGTTTAAGGGTTTAGGGGTTTGAGGGTTTAGGGGTTTCGGGGTTTAGGGTTTAGGGTTTGTGGGTTTAGGGGTTTGGGGGTTTAGGGGTTTGAGGGTTTACGGTTTGTGGGTTTGGGGTTTAGGGGTTTAAGGGTTTAGGGTTTGGGGTTTAGGGGTTTAAGGGTTTAGGGGTTTGTGGGTTTAGGGTTTGTGGTTTGGGGCTTAGGGGTTTAAGGGCTTAGGGTTTGTGGGTT